TACCAAATGCTTAATTACTAATCAAAAACTAACATGAAACTACTTTTAAGTGATTACTGAGAATAGCAGCCAATAATATCATTTTTCATAGTAGATAAAAGTAGAATCCAGATATGCATTCCATCCTTTGTGGATACATGAGTCGAATTCACTGCCGCAATTCGAACTCAGTACCTAACGTTCTAGACTACAGAGGCAATCAACTCAAGATCTTAAGTCAACAGAAACTAATAAATTCAGTGTTAAATATCAAGGAAACGCGTAAAAATATCCTTCAACTATCATGCACTAAAAAGTATGAAATGGATTTAATTTTTACATTTTTATTAAATCATACTAACTAAATCGAAATAATCCGTGGATCAGTATGCTATTTATCTGAACTATCAAGTGATTTATTGATCGTAAGCTCTAGATTTCTCAAACTATGCCAAATAATATGGCAGAATAAGAAATAAAACTCACATCCCAGAAAAACGTACTAACTAGTCGTCACAAATATTTCACAACCACTTACCTCATAACAAACTTTACAACGAAGTGGATGCCTATTGAAGTTTCGATGTTTTAATTTAGAAATTTTTACAAATTACCAAGTATATTGTGACAAAACTTTTTTATTTCAATTTATTTTTTTTAACCCTAAATAAAGCTATGGAGTACAGGTCACATGAAAACTTATAAATTCGTGACATATATTGCAAATTTATGGTGCAAATTTTAGCGGGAAAACTAATTATCGTAATTCAATTAACAAATCATTAGAATAAGCAGTACATTCAACGATAAATTTCACAGAACAGCATTACATAGAACAATAGACCAAAGAAAAAAATAAGATAATCGCATTTAACAAGAATAAATCATTTTCTGCGGTGATGTTATGAGCGCTTTGGATAACTTCAAGATAACTTTTAATTACACAGTGACATTATTTCAAGAAGTAACTAGTAGTTTTATAGTCCACAGTGTATGTATTCTTTAGCAGCGCTTGCAAACAAACCTACAACTGGTCGAAAGGAAAACTCTCATATCTTACTGTGACGAATATTTTCAGCTGTTGTCAGTGTGACTTCTTTATTAGATCTACAACATATGATGTGTATAAAACTAATTTTTTCAAAGAAAGCAGCAAAGATGTTTTCTTGTCTTTTAAGCATAATGGTAAGATTTTTAATCATTTACAATAAATATGATTTCTAGATTATAGTAAACACTGTGAAATAACTGTTATACCACTCTCCGTACATAGTGATCATTCTGCAAGCGGTAAACATCTATAAATTAAAAGAATAAGTTTGCTTTGATTCATGTAGTTACTTCTGTAATAATACCTATCTTGACATGGTAACATAAACTGAATATATCTTAATCTCACGGAATTTTTTGTTTTAAACATTTATATTCTTAATTAGGAATATGTACTCCTACATTTTGTCAAGATAATTTTGACAAGGTGAATAATCCAGTCAAGTTGAAACAATTAAATGAACTAACCTTAGGAAATGTAAAACATGGTTTGCATTATTAAAATTTATATAATACTGTAGTGAACGAGAACACAGGTGGGACAACCGGATTGTATTTAACGAAAATTACAGAGTTACTCAGTAAAATCGGAAAACCATATCGTAAATCGTTAGTTTGCAAAATATCAATTCATCATATCGAACTGGACTGTTCCTGTTGCAAAACATCAATCCATTGTCACTATTCATGCGTTTCATACAAACTCCATTGTGTTCTAACTCTTCCTTTCTTGATCTTCCCCCATCTTCTGCTGCCAGACATTACGTTGACACTCACGTCATATACTACTTATAAGTAGCTCGCACCACAATACGACGAAAATTACAGCTTACTGTATGAGGCTTAATCAAAAGAACGTATTATTTACTCTACTTTTCCATGGTTGCTTGTAATGGAATCCATGAAGGACTTTTTGAAATATTTAGAACTCATCACATAGGCATACATTCATCCCAAAGTTGTTATTTATACTATGACCCGGACACTGTATATCAAGTTAAATACCTATACATTAAGCTTTTCTCAGTCCAGGTAGCCATTGGATCATTCAATGAATATGATTACATTTAGTTTTGAATAACAGTAACAAGAAAACGAAAAATTCGCTAAATCATCATAAGTATCAAAATAACCTCGATTTACTTCAATAAGACCGATTTAATGATTCAGCAAAATAAATAATGCTAACAATATATTAACGGAATAAATATAGTAAAACGAAAGATAGCACTAAAAACAGTGCTGATTAATGAAGGAAATAAGATGAGAAATAACTAGTTCATCTGAAAATGGTCTGATCTAGTGATAGGTACAACTGCAAGTAACGGGAAATTTTAACATATCACACCGGAATCATGACTAATTAATTGTGGTGAGCGTAACTGCGCCTAAAATTTATATCTATTTATTTTAAATTGAATTATTTGATTACTACCGGTCAAAATGATGCAACTTTGAATAAAGGCGATAAACTAGACTCCAGGTTACATCGTTTATACCTCATCGAAATGGAATAAGAACCTGTAAAAAGTTACAAATGTGCTGAGTTTTTTTTTGATGAATGGCTACACCTTCAGAAGTGATTATTGATCAAAATATTTGAAGATGTGCGGCACAATACTGAGTTGCTTCATATACATGAGCGACAAATTAGATCGCAGATATCGTATCAGCCAGTTGTTCAAATGCCATATCAGTTCAATTTTCATCTATGATTAGAATGAAACAAGTAAGTAATTCGATGTGTACATGACCATCAAGTGCATTCATCACACAAAAGCCCATTGAATCTAAATTTGCCGTCTGAATACAAGACAACTGAAAAATGGAAGGACTTTCCCTTATGTAATAGTGGACTGAGTGAAAATTGACAGACAGATACAACACAGAACTTCGTACATAAGTACATCAGTTCGGGATGCCATACCACATCAGCACAGAGACGCAACTGTCAGTTCAAATACAAGAGTGACAGCGATAGTATTATTAGCAACAATGGAGATTAGGGGACGAAGATATGATATAATTCAGTGAGATAAATTTAGGAGAAAGATAGAGATTATGAGGAATTCAGAGGGTTAGAATTAGAGAGAACACAAAGAGTGGATGCACCTGCGCCATTGCAAACGATTCTGAGCCATGTCGTTCAAGGTCTCTAACCATCGGTGACTATAGTCTCGCGGACCCCAACCAAATAGCCTACACCTACCAACATGACTCAGTCCACTCGTCAGTGACTTCATGGATTTGTGCAATGTTTTGGTCTGCCCGCCCCTAGCTTTCTTCCAACCTACTCCTACAATGCAAAACATAGCTCGCCGAGGCAGTTGGTGGTTAGGCATACGTAACACCTGTCCCAACCACCTCAACTGATGAAGTTTCAATGCTTCATCTATTGATTTGCCGTCCTTACCTAGAACTCGTTTCCTAACGATAGGATTGCTTACTCGGTCGTCCTAGGATACACAAGCAATGCTCCGGATACACCTATGATCGAAGACTAGTAACCTACGATTGTCCTCTACTCTTAACGCCCATGTTTCGCATCCGTATAGTAGGACAGATCGAACTGCTGCGCAGTACATTTGTCCTTTGGTTAACAGTGAAAAGTGAATTTCGACCGAAAATGGGTGAAGCAGTGTCACCGTTGGAATTTCAACGAAACACTACAGCTTTTTGTCTAGGTCTATACAATTCATGCTATGAAACCCAATACGATTTGTTCCTTAACTATCACACTCTAATGAACAACATAAGAACGAATCTATGCGTGCTTAATATTCACAAACTGAACAAATCACGCTGTACTTCAAATGTATTATTATTACAATAAGTGATTATGAGTATCGGGTGAAACAACTCACTCAAACACTGAAAACAATTTGTACTCTATAAAAGCAGTTAAGTTTAAATGGATGAAAATTCTAACCGTTCATTGTATGGGGAGGGGGGGTAGAGCAACAGCATGTAAGCAAGAATAACAAAGTAGCAGTACGTATGGAATCGGAGGTAGACGATTATGAATAAGTATTGATACTAGAATGTGTTTATGTGGAATACAAGACAAATTAAATGCACACATTAAAATGTACTATAACAATTTACAAATATGACTAAAATATTTATTCTCGACGTGTTACATTATATCAGTTAATATACTAGTAATATTATTTCATTGTAATGCTAAATCTTTTTTCTTACCAGCCTTTATTGATAGATACCATTAACCTCTAAGTTACTTTATATTCTCTTTGAGCATCGTACAGAGAATGAATTGTAAATGCGTTCTGGTTTGGTAATGTGATCACAGTTCAAAGGCTGTTTTGAAAATGATTTATTCATTGACTTGAATACTCCTTTTGATATATTAACAAGGAGTGGTATATTACAAAGAGCTCACTCTATGAAGCCGATGTAATCTGGAGTACGACTGAATTTGTTCACATGCACTATTATTATCAGAGTGAAGTAATTTCTCTCAATAATTAGAACGCAGACCTTCGTACGTACGTACGTACATCAGTTCACGTAGCCATACCACATCAACACAGAGACGCAACTATCAGTTCAAATCCAAGAGTGATAGAGATAGTAGAAGTATTAGCAGTAATCGGAGAAGATCAGGGGGCGAAGATATGATTTAGTGAGATAAATTTAGAAAGAGAAAGAAAGAGATTATGAGGAATTCAGAAGGTTAGAACCTGAGAGAAGACAAAGATTGGATGCACCTGCGCCATTGTAAACGATTTAGAGTTATGCCATTCAAAGTCTCTAACCATCGGTTACTATCGTCTCGCGGACCCCAGCCAGGTAGTATGCACTTACCAAAATGACTCAATCCAGAAAATTCTGATTGTACTTTCCTTAAAGCTACAACTCCAGTAGGTGAATATTTCTATTAAACACTATGAACTACATCTGCAATTTCTTCGAATAATTATTTCTAACTTTCCAACACTTATCAACAGAAGTTTCAATCAAAAAATCTATATATTTACACTTTGAGAGTAATTGTGTTGGGTAACTACTATAATGTACATCAATAAATTTTGTACATAAACGAATTACTATTAGAAGTATATGTATACACAATTTCACATTTATTGAAGAGACGACTTTTCATCTTGCTTTTGTTTTTGCGCAGTAATTTCACTTTTCCACTCTTTCAATCTTGACCAACGAGCTTCTTGACGTGTTCGGGGTGCCAACCATGCATTTTTCATTATTTTCATTTTATCCCGGAAATATGTTATCTGTTCCTCTTCATCGAGGATTTGTCTTAACGCCTCTTTAGTTTTTTCAACAACTTTCACACGTTTTTCAGTCTTAACGTTTTCAGTGTATTCTTTTCTCCGTTCTTCATTAAATTTGGCATACAAATTAGAGACAGCCTCTAATTCCTGCTTCATACAGTCTGAGTTATTATATACGCCATTGTAGACAAACTCTTCAACCATTTCGAAAAAGTTTGGTGTGGTACATAGTGATCCACTCTGAATGCGCTAAAATATAACCATATATGGAGGTGTCAGCTTACTTACCATAAGCTCATCTTGAACCGATTTAACATCCGATACGTTTGGAAGCTGTGGTTCTCCACGTTTTAGAGGTGAGTCATCAGGTCGCGTTACGCAAGTGTCTACAATGTTTATTAGCTTCTCCACCTACAGATAGTTGTCAATATTTTTAAACTATGGAAGTGAAGATACTTACCACTGTAGAGTCCATTCCTCCTAATTGGATTGTTGAATCATCAACTCTTCTTAGTTCAACTAATAATTGGTCGCACTGTTCAGAAAGAGCAAGTCCAAAAATCCTTGTCATAAGACGTAAACTATCCACACATTTAGACAGGCTATTCCACACTGGAGTGGCTTGAAAAAGTGAACATCGCTTGTCTAGTGCATGAGACAAATGCAAGAGCGTATAACCAGTTTTCAACCTGGGTCGCTTTATATCGAAAAAGTTATCATAGTTTGGGTTCCTGACGTAAGGAACAAATTTGTGTTCAATCTAAAAAAGAAGGAGCGATTACATAGGAATTTCATCGGGGCTGGAAAGAACAAGATTTAGGAGAATATGATTTTGAAGTTGATATACCTGACTTAAGAGTTAATGTGCGTAAAAATCGCCCTGCGACACAAGATAATGGATCTAACTTCAACCTGTGGTCTTACTGAAATCTAAGACGAATTTTTATGAACTAATAGGCGTGGGTATATAGAGTCGTAACGAAAGACTGTAACTAAATGTTTTTCAGCTGAATAATATTGATCGTGTAACGCACCTGTAAATTACGGTATTATGTACTTCAGCCACACACTTGGCAATTAATAATACTATTGGATTATTATATTTGCTGTCAGTCAAATTATGGTGACTATTACGGTTATACCACAGTAAATCTGTACTTGGAGAAATATGTACCATATGATATTTGAAATAGGCATGATACTTTCAATTATTTTATAACCATGTACAAATGTAGATAGCGATGTAGCCAAGATCGACTTCAATCATTAAGTAGCATCATAAATCATAGGTATACCTATGACTTCTATAGAACCTCTATTCGGAAAATGATATATTTTTGTGGAGTGGTAGTGTCTTATAGCCCTATGATTAGGAATACTTGACGGGGGGGGGTGAAATTGAAGCTTATTTACATTTTAAGTCGATGGCTGATGAAACCTAACTAATAGGAGTTAAAATAGACTCTTCTTGACGAGTATATTCGACTAACCAAGTGAATTTGATGGAATATTTATATTTACTAGTGTAATTTTTGAAGTGTTCACATTTATAACTAGTCTTTTTGAAAGGACCCCATCCCTAATGATAAATACATTTTACTAAGCATTAGGGCTTTATTTTACAAGTGATTACACAGGTAGGCACTAGTGTGTTGTTGCTAATGAACAACAACAAATAGTACAAAAGTTAATTTTGACTGTAGAACCATTTAGTGTTCCAATTACTGGCTGCTCTTACGAATTTCGGCACTGATAAACACTAAAAATACAATGACTACGACACGTATCTCCACATCGAAGAATATGATACACCTTATGAGTGATGTTTATTAGCTACTTCCTAATTAAGTTAAAAAAAGTGGGAACTAATCTGTATAAAACTGTATTACAAAGAAGTATTTATTAGCAAATCTGTAAGCTCACCTCTTTGTCATCCTCTGGTTGAAATTCTTGGTCCACATATGAAACATGTTTTATTGATTTTATGCATGACAAGAGAGAAGTAGCGAGGACAATCGGTCTAATATTCTCGGAACTGAAATATTCCTGAAGGCAGAGTTCCCAAGCAACTGCAACTGCAGAATTCCAATTACCTTTCCGCAAAAATACATCCATCATGAGAACTGCAGACGAAAAATCCACAAATATTCCTGTTTTTGACTAGAAAAGTAAGCAATTAAAATTTTTAAATACCCTATTTTCAATTAAGCCTAACAACCTGTCAGCTTCTTGAAAATTTAAATAACTCCGGATAAACGCATGACATGTCGAATCCCTTATATCTACCGCAGCCTGAGTATTCATGTAGCTTAAATGTAGACTGAAAAACAAGCTTCAAACCTCATGATGATTTTTTCAACAAATTCTAGGAAAGTTACATCGAGTTCATCCAGTTTATTGGCAAACTATTATTTTTAACAGTTTACAAACAATAAAAATTTACTATGTCATAGTCCAGTGGAGACACAGTCTTGCCAGCGTTAATGTTTTGCAGTATTTTTAAACCATGATCACCTAGAGGTTTAAAGGTTTCCGCTGTGGAACTTACGGGCTGACATGTTTCCAAAAATATCACCAGACCGACGAGCATTCCAAACATCAACCGAAGCATAGGAATCAGGTACAAAGTATCTATGGAATGACTTTAGACTGTACTGAGACTGCTTTCGACAAAACGTATTTGTGAAATAAGGCCATATCAATCGGTTCATTGGATGATGTGACCTTGGAGTTACAACGGTTTTTTATCCGTGCGCTGGGATTTGGAAAGAGTATGTACAATCTTAACGCCAATGGCTTGAAATGGTTTTGGATGGAATAGAAGCTTTCTTTTTTGGGCCTTGATAATTTTGATGGCTTCAAGTAGAAACCTATTTATGTTAGATGAACAGAAGAGAAATGTTAGTAAATTATTTTGAGTTGATGTCTTCAGTCATGCCTCCGCTTGAAAGACTGACAGAAAATTACTTGGCTTACCTCAACCAGTAGCAGATTTCGAGCTCCGACAACATGTTAAAATTATAACGTATACATACGGTACAATTTGCTATACTGTGCCTCCGATTTCTGGGTATCGCTTTCAAGGGTTGTGTCGGAGCTAAGCCTCATGAAGTATTTCAGGAAGTACTCAGAAGTGTTTGGGTTGCCTTAAGTCGTTAGAAGTTCAAACATAATATGCCTATAAAGATCCAATGATCTGAGAAGCTCTTTATAAGTTTCGGATTTGATTCGTAGAACTGGTTTTGTGACCAATCGTGGGATTCTTTCCAGTGTATTCTTGATATTTTAGGGCGGCGGTGGAAACAAGATACACTCATACTTTAAATAGTACATGATAAAGCTGTTAAAGGTTACGTGTAGATTTATACTGAGGAACTGGCCAAAAATGAACTTCAACCTCATAAGTACAACATCTACTCGAAAAGCATTTTTGCCTTCACGAACTATAACAACTATTAAATCGTTTTCAACCCTAAACAAATTCAGAGAATATGCGTTTCGGTCATTCAGAAAAGTTGTTTTGGAAACTGAAATAAGAAAAGGTACTTGTGGGGAACCTTGGGGACGCTACTAGGACACTCTGTAGCCTTAAGAAATAAGACTTCCTCTGGTACTAAAGGGTGAATTATTTATTTTCGAAGCAAGCCAGTTGGTAACTCAGCCTACAGGTACTCCAGGGCTACTGCTAGGCTGATGCCTGAATAAGAGGGGAGAGTTGAAAATGAAGTTGGCGACCCCATCCTGTAGAAAAACAACTCGCTGAAAAAAATAATTCGAAGCATTCTATTTATGCCATCGCACTTAGAGGTTCTTCACTTAGAAGAGTTATAACGTCTCGTGATGGAAGCCTAGTTCCTTCGGAAGCCCAAGAGGCCGCCAACTCTTCTGAAAACCAGAGCAACCATTGTTCTAGGTACGTAGAATGTTCGTAAAATCAGGAGGAATGAAAGGATACAACGTGGAGGTGCTGGGAATCAGTGAGACTCATTGGACGCAGGCTGGACAACTAAGACTAACTTCAGGAGAGCTGCTGTTGTACTCTGGTCATGAAAAGAAAAATACATCACACACAAGGAGTCGCCTATATACTGTCCAAATAAGTACAAAAGTCACTGATAAGATGGGAATCTCATGGGCCCAGAATCATCAAAGCGTCCTTCAAAACAAAGAAAGAGGGCATTATAATAAACGTCATCCAATGTTATGCACCTATTAACGACTCAAATGACGTTAAATATCGATTCTATCACAGGCTGCAGTCAATCGTCGACAGATGCTCATCATAGGACTTGATAGTCTTAATGGGAGACCTAAATGCCAAGGTTGGAATGGACAACACTTTATATGGAGAAATCATGAGATGACATAGACTGGAAAATAGGAACGAAAACGGTGAGGGATTTGCAAACCTATATGCCTTCCACAAACCGGTCATCGGCGGCACAGTATTCCCAAACAAACGCATACTCAAAGCCACATGGATTTCACCTGATCACACTACCCAGAACCAAATCGACCTTATCCGTATTAATATAGTGTTCAGAAGGACCATGGAGGATGTGAGAATCAAGAAAGGAACTGACTTAGCCTCAGATCACCACTTGCTGATCGCCAAAACAATACTGAATCTCAAGAGGCGCTGGACAATAGCGGAGATAACATCGCGAAAGTTTAATACAGCCCTTCTCCGGAAAACTGGAAAACTCAACGAATTGAAGATGGCCCTCAGCAATAAGTTCCAGGCACTGCAGGATCTACTCAATAGAGAGGAAACAACCTTGGGGAACAGTTTGAAAGGGATCAAGGAAACAACCACTTGAACATGTCACGAGGTTGTGGGTCACAAGAAACATAATCACAAGGAATGGATCTCTGTTAGTTCTGTTGGAAAAATTGAAGAAAGAATGAATGCAGCAACCAACGTCAGCGCAACAAGAGCAGAGAAAGTTAAGGCACAAGCTGCATACACGGAAGCAAACAGGGAAGTGAAGAAGAGCATCAGAGCCGACAAACGAAAATTTGTGGAAGATCTAGCAACGATGGCAGAAAAGGCTGGAAGAGAAAAGAACTGGAGACAGTTGTAAGATACAACAACTATCGTAAACTAGAAAGACCAGTGAAAAGCAAGGAAGAAAAAGTAACCAGCGACATTGAAGAACAGCGGAAAAGGTGGGTAGAAAATTCTAAGAAACTCTTCAATTGACCAGCACCACTGAACCCACTCAACATCTGAGCAGCACCCACAGACCTTCAAATCGATGTTTTCCATTCAACAAATGAAAAAATCAATATGGCCATCAGATAAACCAAGCTTCCAAATTGAAAGCTTACCCAGTCAGCGGGTTTATACTCTCAGTTTCCAATATGTCAAGTGTTTTCAGACTTGTTTCAGTTTGCGCGAAACGTTGGTGTGCGATGACTGTTTTATGATCTCGAATGTGAGACAGACCACAACGCATGTCAATGTGATATCGCGACAAAATACCAAGTTCAGGATGATATGCTTTCTCCCAGACAGATGCAGATGCTTCTGTCAATCATGAGTGTCTAAGAGACTACGTGTATTTTCAAAGTGCAGTGAACCGGAATGCGATTTCTGTTTTTGTGACATAATATGATTATTCATAGATTCGGGAGGCGATATATGATAAACTGTTTGCTACGTTATGTGGAGAGGAGGAGGAAGCAGGATCATAGGATTCCTCTTGGCTTTTGTTTTGGTTTTTGATCAATCTGATTGGTAACCAAGTGTTGTTTAAGCTATCTTGATTAATGTGATGCCTGAGAACAGCAGGCTAGAGTTATGGGTTTTCTGTGTTCCACCCGGTATCCTAGCTTTGTTCTGTGTAATTGACAGGATCATATGATTTTATTTAGTGATAGGGAAATACCTTAGGTTACATGTCAGAGGGGTGTGCCTCTCCTGACTCTTGGAACTTCGAGGGCCCACTTGTTACGGGAGAAACGAAGACATTTTGCTGATCAAACCTTTATATATATAATCATTAATTTCACTGTTTTTTGGGTATATTTGTTTTACTTAACTTATGAACTTGTTTGAATTATTTTTTGCGGACATTTTGGACTCCCGTTTCTCTTGGTTGTTCGTTTGCAGCTTTTTGCTCCAAGAGCTAATAAATTAGAAGGTAATTGTAATTATTATAATTATTGTTGTTAGAACGACATTGGTCGTCTATTTGTAATAAAGTATTTTGGTCGAATTTGTGATTTGGAATAAACTTTGGTATCTACTTTGGAGTTTCGTTCTTGGTTTAAACATTTGGGGACCGTGAATTACAAATAGTTCGACAACCGTGCTTCGTAGGATCAACGGGCAAAAAACTGGACGTAAAACCACTTCTAGAAGCTTACTTACTTGTAAATTAGGAGATGTAGTGGCCAGGCATTGTTGGATTTTAGACTGACTGGATACTTGAGGCTAATGATTTTAGCGTGAATCGCGTTTCCTAGGAGTATTTCTGCCAAGCCGAGTCTCTAGGCTTTGAATGGTATCGCCAGGGCAGTGCTGGCCTATTGCAGAGATGCTACTGACTTGAAATCAGAAGGTAGTTGAATGTTTGGGAAAAGAACTTCTGCGTAACAGAACCAGGCTTCATATTATCAGGTCAGAATGGCACGAGTTGAAAGTCCAAAGGCACAGGAGTCCAAATTTTAAAAAACATATATAACGTTATGACAAGAAACAGACTCCCATTATTTCTCTGAGAATACCAGATCAAGCCAGGCTTATCAATGAATGTGTCACGGATATTGAAAGTTGGGCAGCGATTTGTTCATGACACCATTCAGATCGAGGATTCCAAGACAAGCCAAATCAGCGGCCAGGAGTCAAAGGGATCGAAGGAATATTTGAATGGTTGTTACAATGTCAGGGAATGAGTGAACTAAGCTTTCCAGTTGAAGCAACGAGTAGCGTTGCACAATGTACCATGACGGAGCGCTTTCAGCTGGGTGTGCTCACTAAGACTCATGAGGCCCTCACCAATGTCGAAGAATTACAGCAGAAATATTTCTGCTGTTTATTTGCATTACATTATGTTTGTCGTTGGGTGAAGTTTGTAACCATAAGTGAGAATTGAATAGGCTGAGAGAATACAGTTACAGAGAACATTCTGGGACGTTATGTTTGTTGAAGATTAACTGGGTTTGTTCCAAACTCAGTGGAAATATTTCATAGATCAAATTTTTATTTAATGAATAAACTATCTGAATACGATTATTTGAATGAACAAGTATTACTGTCTTTTAGCGCAAAATGTAAGTCCACATAAAAAAGACAGATAGCTTGAAAATATGTAACAATCATTTAGCTTGTATGCATATCTTCTGCTTCACAATTCACAATTTCTTCATCGGATTAGCTTCGACTCATTCAGGATACTGCAAATGATTTTCTGTGAAGAAACACCTGACGTTACAGTCAGGCTTTACAACACTTCACTTACCAGCTTTTATTTCCTTACCATCAACTTCGAAACCTGTTGTTAGACATTAAGGAAATTTATCAATTATTCCCAGAACTCACACCAAATCCCGAAGCACTCACTAATGGTCCACCATTATTATCATTGATACAGGCATCACGAAATGATGGAAGAATACCCTACTCTTTCAAACAGTAGTAGGCCACGGCCTTGCAGTGCTACCCGTGACATTCAGAATTTTATTCAAACCTAAAATTCTCATCGTTATCTTTTTATCTCCCGCATCACTTTTAGTTTCATTTCTAGTAGACAGATGAGTTGAAAAGCCTAATGTCGACTAAAAGGACCTCAAACTTCCTGTATCATTGAGAGTCCCTTCTTGCTCGTGTAATAACAATTTATTTACCCAATTCAATGATATTCAAAAACCTTGCTTTCTTAGCTTTTTGTCGCCTTACTCGTGAATTTTTAACAGATTTTCTTCATTTGATATCGTAAGGTATCTGCACTTTCTATCTCAAAACTACCCATTAACTGACCCACATCTTACAATATATACAATTAGTTAACTTAATGGCAGTGTTTGATCCAAGATACAGAAGCCAATGTTTTCCAGTTTGTTTGTAGTGAGGAGCTAGGAGAGGAAGTGCATTTCAACAAGGTATACAAGAAGTAGAGCTTAGACTTAAACATTATTAAAGACCCATCACTAAACCTAAGAGAGACTAACATCACTGAAGGAGGGAGGGTGGTGTATCCTATGAGAATTCACGACGGCGAAGTGATAGTCGAAATCTATCCGTGTCTGTGGGGCAGTGTATTTTGCTTGCTAGCGGCTCCTTGCGATATAGCAATATGTGGCGAATCAACGATATTCATGTTACTTTTCCATGTCAACCACACCTTACGTATGCAACCTTGCACTGGTTTCACTTCGTAACAAGAAATCCTATCACAAACAGATAAGGACAATTATGGTGAAAAAGGACTCACTCATGTTCAGTAAGCTACTTACTATATTTATGGTGGCTTCCACACAGCTCTATTATTTTTGTACTATTGGTGTTTATGTACTGCAGCTTCCCGCTAAGGCAGCATCTTCTGTTTATGATGGAAGGATAAATGCATCCAACATTGTATTTTGTGTAATATTTTCTGCCAAACTACAAGGGGTTGTAAATTAGATTGATTTACGCTCAGCTTGAATGCATCGGCTTGTACATGAAGTTCTATAGATTTTTAAGCAACAACAAGAGGGCGCAGAAAACTCCTGCCTCGATACTCCTAGACGAACATCCGAAACTTATTAAAAAGGTCGATATTAAGCCCAATTTCTGCAGAAAATTAAGAGTGTTGACGAATCAAAGAGTAGAAGATATCTACACCATCAGTGAGTATAACAATTAGAAAAAATACTATCACTGACATAACAAACGCTTCTAACTATCCCGCGAAACAACTAACGACGTTCAGTCCACAACCACCAGAAAAACTTTCTACGTAACCGAGAGTAAATTTTGAATGCCCACATTAAACGATGCAGCAGAACTAGAACTGTTCCGTAATCTTAGAAAAATCAGCCGTTTAACACTCTTTGGCGACCACAATTTTTGGTACCATGTTTCTTGTTTAACTGTGTCACTCGGATTGTTTTACACCAATTGCACATTTTTCTGAATTGACTACATAAGAACGCGCACTCAAAGATTCTAGATTTTGAAAAACACTATTTTCGATCATTACAATCTCAAGCGAAACACAATTACTGGTTTTCAATTCATTATGAACGCAAACAGAGTCTGTGCTTCTTGTTGTGAAGTCGTTTATCCTCTGGAAGTAATAAGGTGTTTTGATCAGGTTAGTAAGTCGTCTTTACAAAGTTCTCTAAGGTGTTTGAGTTTTGTTTATAAACGATTTCATTATAGCATTTTCTTTTCGCCTCAACGTTTGGGCGTGTTTGTAGGAATAAATAAACCAGAACGACTATATTAACTAAATCATCAGAATTGTTTAGCAGAATCTGTCCCGAATGGAATACCTTATCTTGGGTTAGGAAGTGCCAGAACTATGCGTCAGTTCTTAAATTTATTAGAAATTTCTACTATTGAATGCAACGTAGAACAATGAACTTCTTTACTGAAAGTAGAAATACGACGTACTAATCTTTAAGTAGTCTCAGTTTTTTGAGCGTTATCTCAATTATGAAAGTATGTGGTATTTGTAAGAAGACAAATAATTTTGAAATATTAACGTTATACAGATAGATGGACGAGGTTAATTCTTGTGTTACAGTACGTATGTAAACCTACACTGTACATATTTTTATGAAATTCCAACGGTTATGATATTGTTTTCTAGAAAGCAAGTGATACATGCAGTCTCTGAGATTTCAAAGAACAGCAGTTTTGATTTTCAATGATAGAAAACCTAAAAATCAAGCTTTTAAATTATCGTTCAACATGTGAAACTCTTATTTAAGTTATTTTTATGGCGATAAAATACTTTCCAGAAATCAAAACCAACATAATCCCAAATAATAATGATGTACTAGCAAAAGTGGGACTAAGTTGTCGTTGTTGAGATAGTCAAATAAGTAATGCCATCAGTAAGTGTTCGGTATTAAATGCACTTACTTTTAATAGTTTTCAACGCATACTCTACTTTATGTCCTGGAAATGACTGATACCAAATCCTATTCGCTCATTGTATTCAGATGTAAGAACGTTTTATCCTAAACCGAAGAAATGAAACTATATACGCGTAGAAGCTTAACACTTCCGAATTTAGTCATTCAAAGAGCTATTTTTCATTTTGATTTGGTTAACACATAAACCTATTTGTCGGAAAGGTTTAGTTATATAGTAAATTAGTTATCTAAAGTAAGTCCTTGTACTGTTGCCAGAACTATCGTTTCATAAAATTGTTTGATGGTATGCTACAAACAATTTTCATAGTAGATTTTGATGGCAAAACGAGTAATATAATAAAGCAATATATTCAAAATGCTATAAAATGAGTGGTTTCTGTTTAGTATTTGAAGTAAAAGTGGTGAGTATTCTTAAAATTGAACTTTTCAGAATGTATAACGATTCTGCAAAAACATTATCAAGGGTTTTAAGCTAAACTTTAATAGTAAATATTCTGAACCCGACTGCACTCATAAGAAGTTTGGAAGATATTTAGACTAAACATTTTTTCCAGTTAGTTAGTGAGATTTCATGTGATCATCCACGAAAATCAGTTATCTGTTAATTGACCACGACCTTAATGTATCTATGTGATGTATATTTGTATTTATTGAGAGCTGGTTATTGTTCATTTTATTATAAAGGTATGATGAATGAAGTATAGGCTTGTAGAAATTTATTGAAATTTCATTTCGACAAAACAAAATCAATGTTTTACGAAAACATTCGCATACCTGAACAACAGTGCGTAAACAATTGTGTAAACGCATCAGGCTAATGTCCACTTATTATTCTTATGTCATAAAATCAGTTACAAATTTAGTTATTCCTACAATTGAAAAAGTAAGATGTAAGCCTACATTATATTATTAAGATGTACATCGTTTATTGATCTAACGCAGTCAGCTATGAAGGCAGAATAAGTCTGTTTTGGTCGTACTGTATCACAGTAAACTCTAAATGTCAATAACAGTACCGTTTTGAAAATATTTTTCAATTAAGACTAAGGATGCTAACTCTTCGCCTTCTTTTAATTGTGCTGATAAAATCAATCTCCTTGTTTAGGTTTGCTTTTGATTAAACTGATCACCCGTGACACTCAGTTTCCTTCAGTTTCAACTTATAAAGTGCAGTGGATTTAAGATTGTTTTCAAAATAAAAGCAAGCTAGAACAAAAAATAATGAATATCTCTTGACTATATTTCTTTAGAATAATTTGAGAAAAAATACTGTTTTGAGAGATAAATTAGAGTGTAAGATTCTGATTTAAATAACTTTTCATCCACTACACCTCTTCTTTATAAATTAATCAAACTAAATACACTTCAACCTTTTACCTGGTTTAATCCAAAACATTGGCATTGAAAAGTTAGCAAGTTAAATCGCACATTCCTCGCCACAGAGAAGTTGTGAATATTCAAAATGTGTAATTACAACAAATGTAGATTACTAAGGATTCTTGTATTTAATAAATCTTACCTAGAAATGTTATTCAATAAGTAGACTACGAAATATTATACTTCCTAAAACCGATGATCATTTTTCAAAGTTATGTAATGAACACTGAAAATGTCTGGTAACTCTCGTCTTTTAAGAATTTATTCTCACATGCTTTTATTTGCTGTTTGATCAGTAGAATGGTTCTTTAATAGAAATAACTAATTATTTCAATGAATTCTATTGGGAAACCAGCAATCAGCTTTACATAATCAATGTAAGAAGATCTTCTGAGCTACTGAACTGATGGCCTAACAAAGCAATTTTTTGCAAATATGTACGAATATATACAAGTGATAAATTATTGCCTTTCATATAACAAAAGCCGAAAATTTTAAATTTTTTTATGCATAATCAACAGAATGGATTATATATATATTCTCAATAATTGAACTTTCTCTTGCTAAATGCTCGGTTAAAATTTCATTTTTTATTCTTGTTGTATGGAGTAGATGACTGAATCTGTTGAGTTACATTTAAAACCGATAGAATACATTATGCATATGATCATTATAATTTTGGTTTTACAATTTTGTGATTCTGATTTCTATTTTTTTTCACTACAAACATTTGTTACAGATATGGCATAGAAGGTGTTTTCGTTGTCAACACTGTGGAATGGCCTTGAGCATATGTAATTATCATGGGTATGACAAGAAGCCATATTGTGCAGCGTGAGTGTATTTGAATTTCAGCATCGTTCATAATTTTATTTACTGCTGATTTGATGTTTTAACTTATATAAGTCTGGAATAATTATCCTACAAATGGCTCAAAATAGTTATATTTAATGACCAACATTAGCTAATAAATGAACGGAAATGTTAATAAAGTGGTTGTTTTGTATTAGTTTAACGTTCATTATCTAACACGAAGTTCACAAACATGTCCAAACTCCAGTGCTGAACCTAATTTTTGCAGGGTTCGAGAGTTTTTGCTTTTTACTTATGTATGCTAAATATATAGCATAGGGATTATCTAAGGTGAACGGTGATGAGTGTCTTCTCATTCTTATCTCGGGTCCATGGGAAACAGTGTGCAAGAGATTGTTTGACGTAGTATGTTTATAAGCTCATAGTATTCTAGTGTTCGGTTTAAATTCAGTACACTTGGAAATTATGTTATCAAAATAATAATCGACCTGAATTAATGCTATAGCAAATGCAAATTTATACGATAAAACGTTTCTAACCAATTGCTTCATGAAGATTATGATCCCTGTATCTCAAGTGAATTATTGAAATGAGGCAACCACAACAATTTTGCACTCAGAGAAGATGTATACTACGTATTGAAACTAGATTCAACATATGCACTGTGGTTACTTGCAAGTAGGCAAAGTTTGCGTTAGCTTCCTGAGATAATTTCCTTCACCAACTCACTTCAACTGAGAGAGCTTCTGAAACCGAGGAATATTGAAGATCTCATTCATTACAGTTTAATACTCATCAATAGTGATCATAGAAAATTATATACAAAGTCAAAACCTAGGATTTTCAGGTTCTATGATCATAATACAAATAGTTCAAATTTAACCATTCACATTACATAATACTGAAACAAACCTGTGTCAAGATTGTGAACGCTACACGGTTGCAGCTAAATATGTGCGTTCTCGATTCTATCCTAGGTAAACCACCGGGTTAGGACTATTGTTTACGTTTTAACTATGTCAAAATGAGCCAATCCGATGGTTCACGATGATCTGATTCTACACATTAAATCCTGATTCATGGTGAAAACTTTCTCCGAACGAAAATGGTATACACATTTATTGTGGTTAAAGTATTCTAATTGTTGTTCTAGAAATTTCTATTAATATGTTGCATATAATTTACTTCTCCTTTCCATACAGACATAATCCAAAGCCAACTTCATTTACATTCATTACGGATACACCAGAACTAGTGAGAGTAACGAATAATACAAGAATGTTTAGTAGTGTAAGTACTTTTCTGTAAATCTGATTGTTTTCTGTAAGTTACTTTCATGATAATTGTTTTAACGTGTTAGCTTTTTTCCGTACAGTTTAATCATAAACTATAGGATAAACTAAAAAGGGATCTCTTTTTTTTAATAAAAATAATGAACTGATTCTTTGAATAAAAATTTGGATTATGCTAAGTTTATGTATATATTATTTATCACAGAAAAATGACTATACATTATAGATTTACTATAAAATTTAATTATAGCTTTTTGTCATGTACATGATAAGATACTGGTAACTTATTTGAGTTGAAAGACATGCTTAACCAAACAAACGATAAGCATATAAGTATGATGAGAAAGGACAAATTATAATCAAACGGTAACATATTTACACATTTTTGAAACCATGAGCCGATCAATGTTAGACCACCATTAGAAACCTGGAAGCACTGGACCCCGTTTCGTCCTGGTATGGGACTCCTCACAACCCCGTAATGCAAATTACCTATGCTCACTAGTGACTAGCTTGGTGAGGAATCTTCTCCGAGTTCTAGTGAAAAGACGTGGCCAGTGAAGTTCAACCTGTTCGGGTGTAGGCAGTGTCTACCGAAGACTGTGTATGAGGTTGCGCAACTCCGTGAATTTGATCAAGTTAGACATTATCACCGTTGGATACCGGCTCAGTGGTCCGATGGTTAGGCGTTCGCCTACAATACCGAAGGTCCTGGGTTCGACTCCTGCGGGGTGCAGGAGTCGTGGATGCGCACTGCCACTGATGAGTCCCATACCAGGACGAAACGGCCGTCCAGTGCTTCCAGGTTTCTAATGGTGGTCTAACATTCATCGGTTCATGGTTTCATAAATGTGTAACTTAACAATCTTCACAACCCCGTAATAGTAACATATTTCTGATATGTTCGCATGGACTTCAAAATTTGTGCAAAGGAAAAGAATATCGACAAAGAAAGAAATATCTTGTCTGAATATCAGTCAGAGAATCTTAGAATGATCAATACTTGATTAGTAATCTCAGTAACTTGACATATATTACAACTATCTTATTCCGGTGAGAATGACAATTTTAAATTGTTTTCACTATATGGAAGTAATGACTGAGATAAATGGAAATTTTTACAGAAGACAAATACATGTACAGATGAAATTGATAATCAAATGACTACATCAATGTTCTTTCATTTTAAAGTTTTTTTTAATCTAAGAACCTAATGGTCAAGTCTTCGCATTTATTGAAATTCATTGTCACTAATGTACAGATTCATCAATCACTCTTTGTCTGAATTACGAATATGATAGATTTCAAAATAATTTAAAATTTTTTTTGTCAAAATGTACAATAGAATGAGTGAGATACAAGTAGAAAAAAAACAGAGAAAATATCATTGGTCATTGTAATGAACACTTTCATTCTTCAATTTACTAACAATACGTTGAATCTATTTGAAGTGATAGAAAGTAGATAATTTAAAATTATAATTTTGTTTTGATTAGAAGATGTTTAACAAATTAAGTTTGTGTGGAATGCTTTAACTAAATAACTCATATAATTGGTTGTTTGTTGATTTTCTTCGTGTTCTAACATTGTGATGGTTAAATTACAAAGAGTTTCTAATCATGATTTACATAATTGTGGTATTAATTTGAGCAAAGTGATAAAAATTCGTTTCCTTTAGTTTGTTGAATCTTGTTGACTTTTTCCAATTTTCACATTGAACAATAATGGAAGTAATAAATGTATCAAACTAACAAAATGATGATAGGCATTAAAGTATTATTTTCAATTACACAATAATTAAGGTCTCTGAAGATAATCAGTGCTTGTAACTTATTGAATCTCTTCCAGAAAGATTATAGTCCTTTGCAAAACAACCCTTTTTGTGCGAGAATTATTGATCTTATACGACTGACCACTCTAAAATATATGAACCTGGATTATAATTCACAAACTACTGCTGGTTCAGTCCCTTTAAGTTTGTAGGTAAACCTTACGGGTAGATGTTAGCTTAGAAGAAAACTATGTCTATAGTTTCCTGAAAACTGTTTCCCACTATTTAATGTCAGTCTTGATGTTTACTTGTTTATGAACATTTTAACAACTAACTGTATACGACAAAAGTTACAGAAATCAGTTTTTTTCATGATGCTACACGTCATTACAGAAAAGGATCCTCTTTGTTTGAACTAAGAGTTATGTGCATATTTTCACGGAACTTAAATTTATTAGATTTGAAAATCATGAATCGCCATTGAAATTGAAATAATTGAAATTTGAAAAGAAAATCAATAATCCTTGGTAAATTACTTTGTTAGTTGATTATTTCTTTTATATCCAAAGAGAAAATAATCATACAAACCATGAGATGATACAGTTCAATAATATACACGCACACTTCATGTTCACTGTTAACCATCAGAATTCGATTACTTTTATCATTATGGTTTAAACAATTTTAAAGGATATTCACTGTAAACCCCATTTACCTTAAAGCCTAATCTTGTATGAAAGAAAATAAGGCGAATATATCAAATATTATTTTTACTGATATTATTTGTTCACAGATTGTAATAAATACGTTTATACGATCACTATTATTGATTGATTAACGTTATTGTGATCGATTTGGTTGTTTTCCATTTATTTCTGACTAGAAATATCCTTATTTGACGTTCGTAGCCACTGTCTAATTGTTGACTGACTTATCCAATAAATAGTTATACTTAAATAATAGGATCTTCGTATAACGCGATGAACCGAAAAGGATCGAAATTCAGAAAAAATATAAGGTGATTTTCAGACTGTCAAAAACAATTTGGTGTCATTTAGTCCAAGGGAATAGAACACCTAACGATGGGACCATTCATCACTTCTGACTGACTTCATATCTTTTGTGATGGAACCAAGTGATTATTGAAGAGACTACGCAATCATATTTACCTAAAATTCAAAATATTGATTGATTGGTCCAAGTAAATGAACACATATTCGGTAGACTCCATCCATTATGTCTACACGTTTATAATAAATATTGTGTTCCAACAAAATTTCTCATCCATACATAATAATAATAATAATTATAATTATAATAATCATGTGTATGTCTGTATTCATTCTAGATTAGATACAGTGCAGATGCTCAACGTATTAGAGGCAAAATTACATCATTTCCAGATGACTTATGGACTCAGCATACATTGAGGCTATCGAAACAATACAGTGAGGTTAGCTAATATAAACATAACGAAAACCAAAAAACAAAAATGCTATTTCACAAAAATGCATTCTATTTATGCTGCTGACACTAATTGTGTTGTTTTTTGTTTTATTGTGCATAGCATTTTATTATGATCGTATAAATAGTTAAACAAACAAACAAAAAAAAGAACCACAATGATCTAATGTAATACAGCTGAAATTGCATTTACACTTGAAATAATTTCACTGTTTATATATATATTATGCTTATCATATATATATTTTATAAGTTTAGAGAAAATTTCTCAAGATATTAATTCTATATAGAGTGTTCGTCTTGATTGTACTTACTTACTTACTTACGCCTGTTACCCCCAATGGAGCATAAGCCGCCCACCAGTTCTCGCCAACCAACTCTGTCCTGGGCTTCTCTCTCCAGTTCTGTCCAATGTTTGTTCATTCCTCTCATATCTTTCTCTATTTGTCGGCGTAGTGTGTTCCTTGGCCTTCCTCTTTTCCTTTTGCCTTGAGGGTTCCATGTGAGGGCTTGTCTCGTGACGCAGTTAGGTGTTTTCCGCAATGTGTGTCCTATCCACTTCCACAGCTTCTTCCTCATTTCCTCCTCCACTGCAATCTGGTTTGTTTTCTCCCACAGTTCGTTGTTGCTGATGGTGTCTGGCCAACGAATCCGAAGTATTTCGCGTAGACAACTGTTCATAAATACTTGTATCTTCTGGATGATGGCTTTCGTAGTTCTCCATGTTTCCGCTCCATACAGTAGAACTGTCTTGACATTTGTATTGAATATCCTGATTTTGGTTTTGGTTGAAAGTTGTTTGGAGTTCCAGATATTTTTCAATTGTAGAAATGCAGCCCTTGCTTTGCCAATCCGCGCCCTCACATCTGCATCGGATCCACCTTGATTGTCGATAATGCTGCCAAGATATGTGAAGGTGTTAACGTCCTCCAAGGCATCTCCATCAAGAGCGGTTTGATTGGTGCATGTTGTGTTGCATCGGAGAATTTTGCTTTTTCCTTTATGTATGTTGAGACCTACTGCTGCAGAGGCTGCTGCTACACTGGTCGTCTTCTCTTGCATTTGTTGTTGAGTGTGCGATAGAAGAGCCAGGTCATCTGCGAAGTCCAGATCGTCCAGCTGCGTCCTAACTGTCCAGTTGATACCGTGCTTCGCCCCAGATGTTGACGTCTTCATAATCCAGTCGATGACCAGGAGAAAGAGAAAGGGTGAGAGTAAGCAACCTTGCCTGACACCGGTCTTCCCCTCGAAAGAGTCTGTTAGCTGTCCTTGGTGTACGATTTTGCAGTTGAATCCATCATAAGAATTCCGTATGATGTTGACTATTTTCTCAGGCACCTCGTAGTGTCGAAGAAGCCTCCACAGTGTTTTCCTGTCCACGCTATCAAATGCTTTCTCGTAGTCGATGAAGTTGATGTAGAGTGGTGAGTTGCATTCAATTGATTTTTCCACAATGATCCGTAATGTTGCAATTTGGTCAGTACACGATCGATCCTTCCGAAATCCGGCCTGTTGATCTCGAAGTTGGACGTCTACGAAGTCCTTCATTCTGTTTAACAATACTCTGTTGAAGACTTTGCCTGGTATTGAAAGAAGAGTGATGCCTCTGTAGTTCTCACACTTGCTCAGATCGCCTTTCTTTGGTATTTTGATCTCGTGTTGATTGTAGTAAATAGTTATTTTACTGTGTTTAAACAATAACAAATTAATACTTGCCTATTAACTACATTTTTTTTGTGCTGATTATTCCAATATATAAATAAATATATATGCATTTAGTAATTTTTATTGAATAAATTAATTTCCTTTTTTTTCTTCAAAAATTATAATCATTTTTCGGTGATTTATTAGATAGATAGATAGATATAGGTGATGATTAAGTCTTACTCGTTAAATACTGTTTCATGTTTATAATTGTTATTATTTACTGGAGTACACTTGCCAATTTTTCATAGTGTATCAATCAATAGTGATCCATTTTGTTGTAGATGTAATTCATTTTCAATGGTGAATAAAATTGTTGTTAGCTTACTGGTTATAATGCTTAATCGACGCACGCACATGCACACACACACATATGCACGCACACACGATTTAACAAAGAAACAAGAATGAAAGTGAAAATATTCATTTTTATTTTTAAAAAAAATACTTAAGTAATTGAAGCTATCATCTCAATTATGCTTTTTTTCTGTTTATTAGAAAAGTTTGTTTTATTGTTATTATTATTATTATTAACTATATACTCAGTAATAAGAATGATAAGTCATGTTGTACTTTATTATGAGCAAGGATTTAAATGATTATAAATTCTTATCATTGAAATTATTTAGCTAATTATGTAACTTTTAATTATTCGTCAAGAATATCAAAAGAAAAGAATTTTATATTTCATTAAAACCATGAGATTCAATGGGAAAATCTCCCATTCAACTAGAGAATCATATATATTATCCTTTAAACCAACTCTATCTTGGGATCTCGTTTCTAGTTGTTCTAAAATGCTATTCATTCTTATGATATCTGCCTCCGATTTTCAGGGTAACGTGTTGTTTGATCTAGTGCTTCTAGGTTTATATTAGTGGTCTAACACTAAACGACTCAAGATTTCAATGAAGCTCAACAATCTCGATAGAAACTCTGTCTCACGAGTTAAAATGTATTCATTGTGAAGAGCTAACATGTCTCATATTGAAAGTCGAATGTCTTCGGAAGTTACAAGGTCGATACTCCTTCTAATAACCACAACAATAAGTAACACAGGTACATGCAATGTCTGCATAATGTGAGAGACCAGGAGAACCATTCAAGTGGTTGCGGAGATGGGGAGATACACCCTGAAGTTGTTTGAAATAAATAAAATCCGGTCAGGAAGACAGAAATGCCTTTCACACATGATAAAGATGTGGCCGATTACAATAGCAACGAGAACGATAAAGATTAGTTCTATGAGAAGTTGCAGTCAATCGTAAAACAATGCACAGGATAGGACTTGACAGTTTTGTTGAAGGACCTAGAAGCCAACGTTGCAGAGGACAACACCGAATGTGAAAATATTATGCAACGACATGGACTGGTAGAAAAGAACAAAAACTACGAGGGATTCGCAATTCTATATGCCTTCAACGAAACGGTGATTGGTCAAACAGTTTGCCCCCA